ATCAGGTACTAAAAAATTCGATATAATTCTTAATCAGCAAACTTGATCAAGACCTTGCCGTTGGCGTGGTTCGTAGCAAGCTTGTCTAGAGCCTTTTGGTACTCCAGGGCAGGCCATTCGCTGTCTATGGAGTTGACAAACTGCAATTCGCTCTGGTATTTAATAGCCTTGTCGGCCCACTTATCACCAGGGTGAAGCTTGACAATACTGTAGTGGTAATCGTAGTAGCCGAAGAGAGAAGCCAACACTCTGAAACCACCATTGAGGTTCTTGATGATCAAAGAGGTCAAGGAGTCGGTTCCGTACTTGAGCTTCGAGTCTCCAGCAATGGAACCGTAGTAGCCAAAGTTGGCCTTGTTCTGGACGATATTGTGAATCTCAGGGAACAAGTCTGAGTTACCAGCACAGTCAAAGATGGCATCGAACTTGCCGGACTCCTTGACCAGCTCCAAAACAGGATTCAAGATTGACTTGTGCTGGGTGTAGTCGATAATCTTATCAGCTCCCAAGCTGGTGACAAGTTCAGCAGACTTACCAGAGCAGGTCACCACCACCTCTTGAACGTTGTAGGCCTTCTTGGCCACCTGGACCGTGTATCTACCCACAGATGTACCGGCACCGAGAACCAAAACCTTCTTCAAAGCGTTCTTTGGGTTAACCTCGTTGAAGAATGTCTGAGCAGTTCCAAGAACAAGGGGGTATGAAGCAGCCTGGTCGAGGGGAAGGCTGTCTGGGGTTTTTCTGATGGACTCGCCGGATTCGGCAAATGGGTCCACCAAAGTGTACTGAGCGGCCGTTCCGTTACCGAAAGGGGTCTGGTTCAAGCCATTGACCCTGTCACCAACCTTGAGACCGGTCTTCTTAGCAGCCTCCGAGCCCAAAGCCACAACTTCACCGGAGTAGTCAGAAGCAAAGCCTCTTTCGCCACGGAAGATCCACGAAGAAGCAGCGTTCTTCAACAAAAAGTCAACGGGGTTCAAAGCAGCGTAGTGGACCTTGACAAGGACCTTCTTATCAGGCACCTTGTAGCCTGTGGGCAACTCCTCCACATCGGGGAACAGGGTCTCCTTGAGTGTCACAGGAGTGGTGTTGTTGTTGTATCTGAGAGCCTTGAAAGAAAAAGTCATGGGAAAATTCGTGTTGTTTGTAAATCGGGGAATCGCCTCCGTTTATATACTGTGGTTGCTAGATGCACGGCCGAAGCGATGCGTCTATAGATTGGGGTGATATGCGCAACCCGCACATATGTAGATGTGGCTGGTGAGCAATCTTCCATAGACGAGAGGGGGAAAAGTGGGACTTGTGTGGGTCAATTGGGTTCTTTGGCTTCTTGAAAGGCTGAATTGTAGAGGGATTGCAAAAAAACGGGTTTCGTTGCCACCGAAATGAGACGGAAAGTTCACGGAAAGTTGCTTTGTCAGCAGTGGAAGCTCAAGGAAGCCCAAGGCGTTGGAATGCTTAAATGTTGATGGTGGGCTTTGAAAGCCGAGGTATCGAAGCTGTGATTTTTGTTGTTTGAAGGTGTGGAAAGGTTTCATGATGTAAGGTTTATGATCAAGTGTAGCAGCTTCATGCAACCTCGAGGAAACGCAGGGACCAGAGAAGCGTGAAATACGATGAATTTCCCGAAATGCAGGCGACCTTCTGCTATTATGGAGATTTGTCCAACTGAGCTTGAGTTCTCGAGAGGTTTTGTGATTTCTTCGGTACATTGGGTATGCGCAGAAGCAGTAGACGATAAGACGCCAGGCAGAGAAGGAGAAGGGGAAGAAGGACAGGTTGAGGTTTGCCTTTCTAGCGTTTTTAAAAGTTGGCATGGTATTTGAGAAAGTCCAAGTTTCCAATTGAATGAACCAATTGAATGAGATCTACTCAATGGCACTAGAGCGACCTCGGCAGCAATGCATGTTAGGGAGGCAGACGAGGGATGATGTATAGTAGCAACACAATGCTTCCCTACTTACAATGATTTAATCTGACAACTACAATGACGTGGTCAGACCACTGGAAAGCTAAGAAAACTCAATCTCCAAACGCCATTTAGAAAATCTTGGTACCTCCATTTTTCTCAATGGCTCAAATGCCCCACCAGGCCCTGCCCCACCAGGTCAATTACCTCGGTTAGTTACACTGAAACAGCCCCACGGCTTCTGGAAACACAGGACGGCTGACCCCACGCTTCCATATATCACAGCCAATGGGCTTGTCGTATCGTATCTCTGTGCGGCTGGATCCCTCTTCATTGTCACTGCGACAGGGTCCCAGGTCCCCAGGTGGATTCAGTGACACACTCCATTTAGCCCGTTTTCAGGAATAACTTAAAAATTCCTTGATACTTCTCTTCTTCTTCTCCTAAAATCCCCAAATCTCCTAAATCCACGTTTTTTCACCCCCCTTCGTCAAACCTACCCTTCACCGCATCCCAACCAGCACAGTGTTTTGGCTGCGAAATACAGAAAAAGAGGGTCCCGGAGCCCTGGTGCCGTTGCCGGGGTGGGGGTGCCGTATCGAACAATGCCTGATTTTCAGCCGCTTTTTGACGTGATCCGATCACAGATGACTGTAATTTGTAAAAATTGTGAAGAAACCGTGGGCCACTTTTCGGGCTAAATCTCAGGGCACTGGAAATTGTGGAAACCAGAAAACCAAAAATGCACTAAAAGTTGGGCCGCTTTTTCTATTTTTCATTTATTTATAGAAACCAAATCAAACTTTGACTTTGAAAGCCAAATTATCGATCGGCCTCCACGCTGCCCAGACGAATCCGCAAGGCACCGACACGGCAAATCGTGAAATCGTGTCTGAGGCTCAGAGGCTGGTCTAGGTGCGCACCATGCTCCGAGGCCACCCTCCAGTTTCCCAAACACCTCTTAAATAAATTTATTAAAATTGTCATTTTTGGAAACTCCAAAATTCTGGCTTTTCAACGGTGTAAAAAAATGTGAATTTTGTTGTCGGACGCCCGAGAAACACCACCCCTTTGGCGTCTCAGCCTGGTCACTGCTGCAAGCGAAGTGTTTTGTTTTCCTGCAAACGAGCGTTCTTTAAATAGCCCCAGGGACCCACCAGAGCTGTCTTTTAAAGAACCACTTTTTACACGTCCGTCTTGGAATATAAAACCAAGAAACCGAACCAAAAAAACAACAAAGCTCCGTTTTTTTACAAATCCACCCCCAGTCACGCCAAGGCCTCGTCTCAACTCCTTATCCCTTCCCTTCAGATCATCCTTCCGTATCTGGAGAATTACTCGCGCCTACTTCCTGCCACCACCCACCTACTGCTAGTTCTTTTCACAAAACATGCCTCTTCCCAAGAACTACAGCATCAGGGCCCCTGCCGCTAAGGACCACGCCCAATACACAGAAACCTTGAAGGTGCTTACCAAGGTGGGCGACATTTCGCCTGAGCAGTTCCAAGACGTGGTTTACACGTGGGAAAAGTACTCTGACATGTACCACCCTAGGGTGATCGTGGACGAGAACGACACCGTCGTGGCCACAGGCATGCTTGTCGTGGAACAGAAGATCATCCACGAGTGTGGCAAAGTGGGCCACATTGAGGACATTGCCGTGAGCAAGTCTCAGCAGGGCAACCGTTTGGGCGACTTTTTGATTTCCCTGTTGACCGCCATCGCCAAGGAGATGGGCTGCTACAAGGTGATTTTGGACTGTCTGCCTGAGAACGTCGGCTTCTACGAGAAGTGTGGCTACCTGCCTGTGGGCATTGAGATGGGCCACCGTTTCGACTAGGCCGGCCTTGCTCCATTCCAACGCAAAACAAAATGAAGGAAGCCTTCTCATTCTAGCCCACCGGCTGGGCATATAGACCTCTGCATCCCGTTGTTATTACATTTATTTATACGTCAAGCGCCTGCGTTCAGTAGGGTGTCACTAAGCTGTAGATTTAGTCGTGTGCTTCAAGCGCCACGATCGAGTTTCCTCGGATCACGACCGTCCCAAGCGAAAGACGGTCAAACTTGTTGATTTCAAGCGCCTCCGCTAGCGTCACGTTCATGAACACGTCGAAGCCTCGAAGCACTCCCGTGACATTACGGCCTCCGTTGAGCTCGACAGAAACGGACTTGTTGAGGTACTGTTGTTAGTAGGGGTTTCAAGGGGATAGTGGCAAAAGCGGGATGTAGGGAAGATTTTGGAGGAATTTGATGATGAATGGGATGCCTTCTGTAGGTGTTTGATCAGCAGGGAGTTGTATTGAAGGCACTTTTTGGTTTGATGTGTAGGGAGCCACGACTTGGAGTAGTAGGTCTTAAGGACTTTTTGGATATAGGGATAGGTGCTATTCTCCTTGATCGGAACAAATGGAAGCTTGAGCGTTCTGTGACGCAGTTATCTTGGGTGTATGACATAGGTATAGCACATCATGGAAGGGAAGTCGTTGTGTTGGTCATGCAAACATTCAAGTGAGCTAAAGTCTCTAGCTAATACTCTCATTGTTTGGATTTGCGATGGCTTCATAGCTTGTGGTCTTCCATTGAAGGTTGGAGCTGTGGAGGTTAAGTCTGTGGAGGTTAAGTCTGTGGAGGTTAAGTCTGTGGAGGTATCGAGGATTTGGGGTGCTGCCTAGCATTCCCTGTATTGCCATGAAAAACACTTTTGCCACTTATTGAAATATCGAAATGGACATACCGTCTTCAATTCAGGAGCAGAAACCATTGTGGAGTGGTTCTCTCATCGAGAGCTGTTGATACTGCTGCAGCCGATACAGTATATGCAGGTGTGTTTCAATAAGGCCCCCAAGATAGTACGTTTGGGGAACATGTATTTCTTTTAATTACTGGAAATGTATTACCATCAAGCCCCTGACGACTATGCTACGTTCACATATTCTTCCCCTGATTTTGTTCAACCGTTTGACGTGATGGTTTAGTGCTGTCCATGCAGTACCTTCTGTCTACTACACCAGTCTGCACTACGCTTTGTTTACCTACAACTTTCTTCAACTAAAATACACCCACACCCCAATTGACACCTCAAATCTGGATGTCAGATAATCTTCCTGGGTCTCCACAGGCGCTGCCGCCTACAGCAATGCTGCCGAATGCAGAGGCAGATAATGAATCGCTTCTATCACTTCAAACAGCCAAAGCTGAACTAGTACAACAACGAGATACGCTTCTAGCCAAGAAGAATGATCTTTCAGCAGCCATAGACCGTTTACAAGGAACATGGGACAGCTACCAGACGCAAAGCCGACAGTATGAAACAAAGAAAAAGCTAGAATACTACCTCCATCAGAATGACCATGAACAGGAAAAACGGTTAGCTGGAGAGGACGAGGTGGCACTGTTCGTGTTGGAAAACATGCACGTGTTGCCATCGTCAGATTGGCTGAGAAGAATGGATCTAGTGGGAAGATTCTATCCACATATGGAGATCAGCCATACTCTGCTGAGGAACATTCATGATCCAGAGAATCAGCTCAATACAGAAATTCAGTTTCGTCTCCTGGCTCGAGGACTACCCACTTTACGTGTACTTCTTACAGTTAGAGACGAGAAGGTGGTCAAATTAGAGATTTTGCAGTCAAAGAAGGCCACTCTACTTCTTCACAAAGTCAGTCCGTCATTTGCAAGGATTCTAGAAACAGACTACGTTCCAAACGGCAAAGTAGACCTCTTAGTCTACGGATACCACTCCCTAGCATCCATACAAGAAAAACGAGTATCAATCCTTTCCAACCTTTTGCATCAATATTCCCAAAACCTCACACGGCCTGGTGCCGAATGGGACGCTGATCCTTTTGATTCCCTACAAGCTATCCCATACGTTGAGTTCGAGTTTACACATTCCAAAACAAATGAGCCTTATTTAGTTAGGCTATATTGGCATTTGGTGCTTAATGAACCCTTCATGGGCCAGTTGGAATCTGAACTAGAATTCGCTACGATCCAGAAAAACAATCAGGCTGTGCTTGAAGGCGCCAGTGGCGCTTTCCTTAATCTAGTGCCCGACTACGGCGTGTGCAAAGCATTTGAGCTCATGGTCAGTAACATTTTTTAATATGCTTATTTATATGAGAGGGTGGCATTGTCCAAGTCGAAGGAGACCCTGCTGAAACGAGGCCGCTTGGCCCTCTTTTTGGCAATCACCTCGCTGAGAATCTCCAACATGTCGAGCTCGAACACGCTGCGCTCATTGACTCTGTCATAATCCCTCTTTGGCTCAAACCCGGCGCCAATTTTTTCGACGGCACCGATGTCAATGGGCGCAATATCGCCTAAGTTTGGTTCACCAGGAACCCCTGTCTCTCGCTTAACCTCCACATCAAATTCATCGTCATCTCTGACTCGTTCATATTTTTGTAGAAGATGCTGTTTACCTTCCTGCTGGTACAGATAGGCCTCAATGCCATTGGCAACATCGCCTCTAATGTCTTCCCACTCGATGCCGAGCAACTTGTTTCCGACAGACCGTCTGTATTGGAAATAGTCATGGAGCCAGCGTAGCATGGTCTCCTTAGTGGCTTCAAATTTGCGGGGAATTGTTCTAGAAACAAGTTCAACCGTAGATTTCAGCTTGCTAGCAATCTTCTTTCTGCTGGCGGCCGAGAGTGGACCGTCCTTGACAAGCGGTTTGTAAAGATTAGAGGGAGTCGTTGTGGCAAAACGATCACGCATTTCTTGAAGCCCCTCGACGGGAAACTCAGGAGTAGTAAGCTTCTGTCTGTCTTCGTCAAGAACAGGTTTTCTGTTGTCCTCCACAAGCGAGCCGACTGATGGAGCTGGTCTCTTTCTCTTGTGTGGCTTTTCAACAACAGGTTTTTCTGCAATCAGTGAGGAGCTAGAAGGAGGTTCAGGAACAGGCGGAGCAGCCACAGCAGGCTGGGCAGCTTGAACAGCGGGGATGTCCTGAGCAGGCTGAGGAGGATGGATAGGCTGGACTGGCTCAACAGCCATAGGCTCCGGTTTCACCTCAGGCTCCTCCTGGTGAGGAAGTGTAGAATCATCAACATTCATCAGGTCGTCCTGGTCCTCAGGGTATGCAGCTGAACCCAGACCAGAACCATCATTGAGTTGTGTCTGGATCTTCTGACGCTCCCTTCTGCTTTTGTTACCCTTCTTCGGGAGAGGATTGTGGGCGTCAGTGGACAAATGCATCATACGAGTGTGGTACATTTGAATGGCATACTCAACCTCATAGTCTGCATCGACGTCGTAGTTGGGCAATTCAGCCTCGGGGATGTAATCCAAGGGAGGAATAGTGTGTGCGTTAAAAGGATTGTCTGCAATCTCCTCAGCCGTGAAATTTGTTTCAAGGTAGGTATACATGAGCCAGAGGAATCTCCGGGAACGGCACTTGGGGTGGATTTCGTCGTTCAAGAAGAACTCCATGAATTTATTCTGCGGACCTGGGGAAGCCTTGATGAAGCGGAACTTCTCCAGAAAAGAATCGTGCTCGTAAGAATCGTCGTAATGGAAGGGGATGTTTTGGAAAAAGGTTGACATGAGGAAGATCAACTTGATCACGTTGGTGTTGGGTCTCTTCAGGTCCCGGTTCTTGAAAAGGTCAAGTAGCGTGAGGAGGTGTTTCTGGTCGTCACACACCGCTTTAAGAATTGTCTTCAAACGAGGGGTATCCTGCAATGGTCTTGAGTCGCCGTCGCCAGAGGTTTGAAGCGACGGAATCAGGTGGTATGTTCGAAGCGCAGAACGCATATCTGGGACGAAATTGACGGTGGTGTTCATTCGGCCAGCATTTACGAGAAGACACACTTTGCTCACGGCAACGCCCATATCTTTTTCCTTGATCAAACGTTCACGGAGGATCTTGGACAGTTTGTTCGACTCTGCCAAAGTACGCACATATAGTTCAGCAAAGGTGAGTTTGGGCCCGTTGGCGGCGTTGGTCACCTCGCAGTAAGGAAAGTAGTTTGTGAAGCAGCGTGTTTCGTCCGTGAAGAGCTCGTGGAGGAAGTCGTACTGGATGTCTTTCCTCCAGAACGGCTCACCGTCAGCCTTTTTAAGGTACTTGTAGCCACGAGAGATTTCTCTGAAATCCGGCGGAAGCTGGCCGGCCTCTGGAGACATTGCGCTCTCGGGCAGACCGTGGTGCTCCTCCTTGTGCTCCTTGGCTGGGGTCTGTGGTTTGGGTTCCGTTTTGTCGTTTCCAGGAAGCTGAGGGTCTGTGATGTCCAGGATTCTAGGTTCCACGGGCGGCTTTTCTGGGGTAGTTTGATGCCCAGGATCGATTCCAGCGTTCAATGGAGCCACAGGCTGCGTAGCTGGAACGGCAGGAGGGGCTTGTGGAGCAGACCCTGGAAGTCTAGGGTCTCTTTCAACCGCCGGTTCGTGGATTCTAGGATCCTGATTGGTCTGGTTTTCCACGACATTCAAACTCTCCCTGGGCGCTTGCGGCTGCGGTATCGTCGAAGGCAACGGAACCTCCCGTTGAGGAGCTGGAGCTTCCTGACCTCCTCCCATAAGACTATCGATGGAAAACGGCTTATACGGCGCCGCCGGTTCGGACTTTACCGGCTCTGGTTTCCAGTTGTTCTGGCTAGGTGACGCTTCGGCAGCAGAAGGCCCGTTTTGGCCAATTGGCAGCTCCTGAGTAGGCTCTTTGGAGATGTGAGGTTGGGCTTCGGAGTGTGGTTTTTCCGGCGTCGTTTTGGAAGCGTCCGTTTTGGGATCCGTGCCGGCGCTATTTTCGGCCTCCGGCGCCAGGTACGTGTCGTGGATCGGGTCGTAGTTCATGATCCTGACAATGACGGTAGTGTTGCAACTTCGTGGTGAGGGTCGTGTCTGTGCAGACTGTTGATGTGGTTGGTGGGGTGTGATAGAGAGGAATTTGGGGTGGCGGAATTTTGGGAAGTTTTTGGGTGAAGGGTTTTGGAAAGGTGGAGGGGTTGTGGAAGTGATGGATTTTGGTGGATTTTGGTGATTTTGGGATCTGGAGGTGTAGGTATTTGAGACCTCGTGGTAGTTTCGCAGCCACTAGGTATTGGTGGTAGAAGTACTAGGCTGTGGTTTGGAGAATGTAAAACTGGGAAAAGAGTGGTGGAGATCCGACAATAGAAATTGATGTCGTTCTTGAAAGTAGTTCGTTGAGTTTGTGCTTTTTGTTATTTGGGGATGTGGCTGGTGGTTGAATGTGGTAGGCAGTGGTGTGATACTGAGCATGAGACATGGTAATATGGGCTGAATTGGTATGACAAGGTAGGTAGCCTCAAAGGAGAAAACAAGCTAGAAGGTGTAGAAGCTTTTCTTAAAACAGTCCTTGTCTTTGAGCTGTGTTTCAAAGGAGATTGAGAGCTTTGTTGGTGAATCTGGTTCTGGTGGTGAACAGTCTAACGGTGAGATCCCAGGATATGTTGAATTGCATTGGCACATTGCTTTTTGGTAATGGCTTATTGCTGATGGAAGTTATTAACACTGGCAATTTGAGCTGTCTGAAAAATAAGCTGACGTTGTGAATCCATGAGATCGATCTCCACTATAATAGTCCAATCCGTAGATCTCAGTATCTGGAAGTCAATTGTCCAGTTCGAATGCATTCACAACTTTGAAATTTTATTTCTAGAATAAACTATAAGTTGAGAGACAGATTGGTGACTCTGCCTTCCTGCCCCATATCGAGTGTGAGACAAACGCTGGAGTTAGTCCTACAAGGTTTTAATACTCTTTAAGTGACTGCAACCACTTTAGCAGATCATAAAAGATTCGGTATTTGCTTCAAATAATCAATTTCTATTAAAGACTAATCTGCTAGAGATAGTCTAAAATGCTAGACGCCGTGTTGCTAGGACACTGCCCCACTGGACACCATATCCCCCAACGCTACCACAAAATCCCGTTCTCATCAGACATTTAAACAAGATAGATATTGTAACAAAGTTGAAAGTTCAAGAAACGCTCGATATCTACAGATTACCAGACAGTGTGATATGTATTGCATCGGCTAACTAGCGCTTCACCGAACAGCCCCACTACGGCATGCTCTTCCATTAAATTTATTGTAAATTTACACTTACCACTGCGAAGCAGCAGCCTCCTCACCGGCAGCAGTGACACCAGAGTCGGCCCAGTCCTCAACGTTGGTCTCGGCGTTCCACTCGGTCTCAGGCTCCTGTGGAGCCTCCTCGGTCTCCTCTGGAGCAGCAGCAGCACGAGCCTCCTCGGCAGCGTTCTGCTCAATCTCCTCAGGGTCTCTGTAGAAGTACAAGTCGGGCATGACGGACCACTCCTGCTGTCTGTCTGGGATGATGCCTCTCAATCTCAAGACCTCTCTGGCAATCAACCACCAGATCAAACCGATCGAGTGCTTACCCTTGTTGTTACATGGGATGGCCACGTCGACGTACTCGGAAGGAGAGTCCACGTCGGACAAGGCAATGACGGGGATGTTGACGTAGGAAGACTCCTTGATGGCCTGGGCATCGGTTCTTGGGTCAGTGACAATCACCAATCTTGGCTCCTTGAAAGAACGGGTGATGTAGTTGGTGAAGTTACCTGGGGTGAATCTGCCGGCAATAGGGGTGGCGCCGGTGTGGGCAGCGAACTTCAAGACAGCTCTCTGACCGAAGGTTCTAGAGGAGCACACAACAACGTCAGAAGCGTTAGGAATGGCAGCAATGATTCTGGCAGCCAACACGATCTTCTCCCAGGTCTTGGAGATGTCGATGACGTTGACACCGTCGGGTCTGGTCTTGTAGACGTATGGCTTGTTGTGGACCTGATGGTTAGTATATGGTTGGGGAAATGGGAGGGTAGTCATAGTCTTAAACGACTTAAACATGGATAGCTCAGTAGCTCGAAAGCTCTTCAAAATTTTCATAAAACTTCATAAAACTTCATAAAACTTCTAAAACCGCCTGGATGGCGGGATCTGAAGGACCCTCCCGCTTTAGCTTCTCAATTACATACCTGGACGTTCTTGGAGCCCAAGTGCACGTTGGCAGCCAACAACAACTTGGCGTCCTCAGCGGTCAAGTTAAAAGATTCAGGCAAAGACATGATACCGGTACCGTTTGTGGAGTATGGATGAAGGAATCTTTTTTTTTTTAAAAGAGGTGGAAAAAATTGGTATGAAAATTTCTCGCAGTGTGCATGGGGCCCCTGCTCAGAGTATGGTGGTGCACGGGTTTCGCGGCTGGTCGATTTATCTGTCTCGCTTTCATAACGCTGACGGGTGTCGCTGCTAGTGAGAAAGTGTGCGTGTGTGCAGGATATAGATGGTTATCTCGGTCACGTGAGGCTTCTATGGCTGGAGTCTCCGCCTGAGCTTAGGGCTCGAGCCCTGGATGCACTGGGAGCCACCAGGAGGCTATTTAGCGGTTCGTGATGTTGGTTGCTTATTTGAAGTGATTTTTTGGTGGAATTAGTTTGAAAAATGAAATTCCAGTAGATGCCAGGCTCCTTGGGGTTCGACCTTTAGGTGTCCCTTCAGTGAGCAGTCTCACCAAGACAAGGAAATAGATAACATAGATTCGGAAGGTATTGATATCTAGGGGGCGCAAAAGGAGGGGTGGAATAACTTGCATGTTTTCAGCTAAAGCTATCATAGACGGATTGTTGTTTGATGAGTGACCAGTGTACTAAGTGGGCTTTCGATAGAGAATCTAGTAGGGGAATTCGTAGAACAATCAATAGTACGTCAGTGGTTAAAGGGTAACTCCTTTAATGGTTAGTTCTACAAAAATCAACCTTTATACCTTCTGTGTTCCGTTAGGCTCGTTAGAGAGCATTTGGTGAATATGCTAGACTTGTAGCGTAGTGACACAGCAGAGTAGTAGAATTAATATACTATGGACATTGAATGAATGAGACATTAAATTAAGGAATTTATCGACGTCTTAAGTATATAAAACGTCTTAAAGTTAGTCTTCAAGGCTTCTTTGGTATTTGATGAACTGTGGCTTGAGGTTGCAGCCACATGAGAATAGGACTCAAGGTTCGATATATGATACACAACCATAGACACCTTACCGGTTTTTAAGGGCTAAATATTCTGATATTCCAAAAATGGGTCCAATGAAAACTCCTCTCAGGCTGTACATGTCTTGTTTCAAACTAATCGTGGGAAGTTCCAAATGGTACGGCATCAGTAGCATCATAAGTCTCGAAGTATCAATGTCAACATCACTCCTCTAAGCATTAGTTCCACCACTCTTTGAAGCTATTTTCCAAAGCCGCATCTCTAAATAGACTCCGCCGTTTTCAAACAATCAGTCAATTGCCTCTATCTGTGGCATAGCTCCTCTAACTCTCTTTACTTACAAACCGGTCCAAATCTCATGCTGAACCTCTAATTACAAAAAGCATCTACTTTAGTGGAATAGTACCTTCTTCAGTGGAACAGCACCACTTCATTTCCCTCAAGACCTCTCTAGTCCAGTCCAGTCCACATAAGTGGAGTACCAACTCCGCATATCTCCAACTCCGCATATTTCCACTCATCAAAACCCCAACAAACAGCATCAACGCTTTCCATAATTACAATCCTATTGAAAACTTTACCACCACAAAACCCCTTTGTACCCCGTCCATCCGTCGTACTAGCAACTGCGGTGTTTGGATATACCGCCAAAACGGCAAACGCTCAAATCAGCTGCAACATGGGTAATCCTCAACGACGGTGAAACCAAGAAATCCACCGAAATCCAAAAATCGACATTTCCACAAATACTGACATTTCATTACCATCAAACAATTGGAGTGTGGCTGAGGCTCGCTTATGCGGGTCTAATTCGGATACTTTTCCATCCACTTTCTATAAATTGTTGAAGCGGTTTTTTGTAAATCGCTAAATGGCAACACTCCAAATCTAAGCACCCCTACATCCCCCTTGTTCTTCTCCTGATCCAGTCGCAAACGGTATCAACAAATATGATCCGCCACCGGTTTCCCAAAACGGCAACCCCACCAACAATACAAAAAAACAATCCAAATCTTCAATCAAGCCGTTTCTAAAAATTTCTTCTTCTTTGTCTTATCGCCACTTTTGGGCACCCCAGGGGTCCTGTAGCAACTGACAGGGGTGCGGCACGAACGGCACCAAAAGTATATATAGGGACGTCTTCGCACAAGATAAGAAGGGAAGATTATGGCTACTCAGGAAGCAGGGAGTGCACACAAGCACGTCACTGGGTTGCAGCCTGATCAAGATGGCCTCCAAGAAGGCCGGATATCCACCGCCACGGAGTTCTCTCCGCTTATTTCGACGGCTCCGGCGCTCACGGAAACACGCGTGTTGAACCCTGCGGTGGAACACCCGGAAAACTCCGACCCAAACCCGAAAAACTCCGCCGTCGACGATGTTGCTGAGGTTGCCTCCATCAACTCCAACCACTCAGACAAGGACTGGCTCAGCCACGTGAGCTCGTTGCTGGTGTGGGCGCTGCCGCTCATCCGGTTGTGTGTTCTTTTGTTTCTTGCTGGCGTGGGAATCACCGTATCGCAGCCTTCCATGGACGTTATCTACTATAAATTGGCGTGCCAGAGTCTCATGAAGAATAGCCTTGCTCCACCGGCCGAATTCCGCTGTGACCCTGTCCAGTCGCAGCAGATCGTGTCCACGTACCTCATGTGGGACAATATCATCCAACTGGCGGTCTCGTTGGCTACTTGCACCAAGGTGAGTGCTCTTTCGGATATCCACGGTCGAAAGCCGTTCCTCACCGCCTTTATTCTGTGCGTTTGCGTGACATACTATATCGACTATTTCCTTATGCTGACGTCGCTGGGCTTCCCCATGTGGGGTTTGTGGGCTGCTACGGCTATAGGTTCATGCACCGGAGGCCTGGCTGCCTTCATGGCGCTTTTCAAGGCGTACATCACCGATATCACCGTGGCGCTGGAGCGTGTCAACGGCATCAGTTTCTGTCTTGTTTCTTTTACTGCAGGCCAGCTTGTGGGGCCGCTTTTGTCGTCAGTCTTGCTCTCCCACGCTAGAAGAAATGAGAAGATCCCCAAGATTCCCCGTGTTTCCGATCCCTCCATTGCGTCCTCTTTTGCTGTGGATCCCGCTAATTTGGTGCCTCGTTCGGAGCTCGTTCCGCTCAAAGTGAGTCTTTTCATTTTCACCTTGGCAGCCATCTTCTGTTTTGTTCTTCTTCTCGAGCTGCGCTCTGAGAAGTCCAGAATGAAGTCTAGATCGGCTTCTGTCATCCTGCTTCAGGCGCCAAGGCCCCATCTCCCCACCTTGTCGTCCAGAATCTGGCACGGCTTCACCAGCTTCGTTGAGCCTCTTCAGCTTCTTACCTTCCCCACCAAACTACGCACTGAAGAAAATGCCCACAACTTCAAGAAAATTCGTTTGTGTGTTTTTCTTCTTGCCATAGCTGAGCTCTTCTTTGGCGTGACAGTGTTGCTGACCATGATCGTGGAGCCGCAGTACACCATCTACAAGTACGAGTGGGATTCAGTGACGATTCTGAATTTCCTGATGGGCCGGTCGGTTGCCCAGATCTTCGGGTTGGCGGTGTTCTTGCCCCTCCTTTACAAACACATTTTCCCCAGATTCAAGCATCTTCGTCCCGTTGCAAACACCTTTGATGCTGCTGATTCCTGGGTCATGGGATGCGGATTGTTCTTGTACGCTTTTGACCATCTAGGCAAGGCGCTTGCACCTACAGGAACCGTCTTTGTTGGACTTGCCTTGGCTGGCTCTTTGGCTACTGTAGTGGGACCTGTGGCGGCAGCGGCTCCAGTGAAATTTTTCCCATCCTCCAAAGTTGGTGAGTTCTACGGTGCTCTTGCACTCGCTCAAGGAATCATCAGCCTTGTTGCTCCCATGGTGGTGACAAGTTTGTATACCTACGGTGTCAAGCATGGTTTCCCAGGATTGTCTTACATTTACACTGCGGCGATCTTGATGACGTGCTGTGCCTGTGTTGTGACGGCCCGAATGGCTGTGAGGGGGAAACGCTCTGTTTCGCCTTCAGTATAGACGATTGCCCTAGGCCGGCACTATTTATTCGTGGTCACACGATCGTTCTCTGGTAGAATTAGATATTATAGAGTGTGGCAGCGTAGCTGAAGTTTGCAATTTCATGGTGGTACTGTCTCTTCAGAAGACGATAACCATGATACATCTCATTATAAGTCTAAAGTCATTTTGATGAGGAAGATGACTCTCTCTTCAATCCAGCTATCTATTGATTCTTAAGGACCCTGTACTTTGCATTGAGTTGTCTCCACAGTGAGACAGATACTGTTCAGAGATGATGCCTCATACAATTGAACCTCCTTTTTCAAAACCCAAAATCTCTTCTCTAACGCTTATTCTTCTCTTCATAAAACACTGAATTCTCGGAGTTAACGATTCACTCTTATCCAATTTCTCCAGCCTCATGGTCCACCATCTTAGGACCTCGTTTCTACATTCCATTTCCCCGTTTAACCCGTCCACTCCTGATTTGCCTCATCTCCACCATTCACCGTAAAACCGCCCCAGCAGAATTCTGGACTACATTCCCGCAAAACGACAATTGCTCTCAGGTGCCATTTACACTTTTCATTGTCACTGCGATCACCAACAATGGTCCACCATAGCTCCAATTGCCCAACCAAATTCGTTCGATTTCCATGAATTCAAATACCTCAGAACCCATTAATCAAAAACATCACTCATTTTTCAAAATCTCCATTTTTCATTTACAAACCCCAAAGTCAGATTCACCTAAGACCCTAACCCTCTCTTAACCTTCTCTTAACCCCCTGCTGCAGCCGTCTGCACCACAACATTTCTGCCATTTTCGTCACATGAGATTTTCTTAAAAATATGTCATTTTTCATTGGATCCGTTTTTTCCTTTCCTGGTCCGCCACATGAAAAAACCCTGGGTCCGCTTCGGCCTCGATTTACCCAATGAGCCCCCATGTATTCAGCCTCACCTGTGCGGCTGCAGCCCCATCGACCCCAGAAACAGCAATTGCAGCCATTGGGTGGGGGGAAGTTGAAGAAATTTGGATTTCATTTGAATTTTGGTGATTTCGTGGTTTTGCCTTTTTCTTAAATCAAAAAAATCATCACTTTTAAAGGGACCCCCACGAAATTTCACAGCACTTTGGCAGGGCCGTTTCTTGGCTGGGGCGCTTATGTGCACACCCGGCTCTGTTCCGAGCCTGTTCCGATGCCGCTCCGATTCTCCGTTGAGCCCGCCGGGAGGCCCAAATAGGAAGGTAAAATTTAAATACTTCGCATATTCGACTTTCCCGACCTCACAAACCCCTTGTACCTCCCGCTTTCTTGCACTTTCCCGTTGAAATATTTTTGGTCCTGCATATAAGGCCGAGCCCACACCTAATACCTTCCACTTATCTATTTCATCAACTTTCATCCCCATACCACTCCTCTTTATGGCTCGATATCAAGGCCCCGACAGCTCCACCGTGTTGGAGCACGCCGCCGACGACACCTATACTGCACTTGACAACGATGCCGAACATATGGATGAAGATGCAGCCTGGCTTCGGGAACAGAGAGATACCAATAAGAACTTGCACTGGCTCAAGAGGCCTTCGGTGATTATGTTGGGTATTTGTATCTGGATGGCTTCAGCGTCTCACACAAGTGGAGAAGGTACGCGTCAAGCGTTGACTTTCAAGTTGGCGTGTAACACGATTTCAGAAGGTTCAGGCACCTGTGATTCCACAGAGACCCAGTTGCTTGTATCGAAGCTCCAGCAGTACTATGCTGTGTGTCTGGGAGTTATCACGATGTTTGCTTCAGGAAAAGTCGGCCCGCTTTCGGACCAGTACGGCCGTAAGGCGTTTATGTTGGCTGTAGTGATTGGCTTGTTCTTGGGTAAGTTGCTGAAACTTATAGTGATGCTGAGCTACAACGAATTGCAGTTCACGCTTATGGTGCTCACGGAGGTTTTGCAGAACATTGGTGGTGGTATCGTGTGCTACGTGACGTTGGCATCGTGCTACGTTTCTGACATTGCTGAAACCCACCAAAGAACGTACTTTTTGGGTATCAACATGGCAGCGCTTTTCCTTGGTTTCTCTATTGGACCGCTTATCGGTAACGCCTTGTTGAGATGGGGCACTGGAGGCGCCGATTCCAAGGAAGCCGCTAATACCATTGCTCCAGGCGAGTTCCTCCCATTAAAGTTCGAATTGTGCCTTTATGCAACCTTGATGGTGCTCTTGGCCTTTGTTTTGCCAGAATCTCGTTCGGAAAAGGCCCGCCAGAAGTCCAGATCGCTCTCTCGCTCGCTGCTGATTGCCCTGATTCCTCAGGAAAGCCTGATCACCGCTAAAGGCTCGATTTTGCTTAGACAGCTCAATTTCTTGCGTCCTGTCAGGCTCATTTTCTACCCCAAGGACTCTGTGCCCGTTTCTAGACACCGCTCTATTCGTGCCTACAGAACGGCCGTCGTTGTGCTTTTCTTCACTGAGTGTATCATGGTGTCGCTTGTCATTCCTCTTGGTGAGATTTTCATTCTTTACGGTATCTGGAGATTCAAGTGGGGCGCCACGGATATTGGCCACCTTCTTGCTGTGTCCAGTTCCTCCAGAGCATTCATGCTTATCGTGCTTTCGCCAATCATCCACCACAAGTTCTTTGAAGGGCTTCTCAAGCTCAAGGTTCACCACAAATACCTCGATGACGTGGACTTTGGCATGATCACGCTGGCGTTTGCCATAGAGATAATCGGCATGACGTTGCTTTCGATGGCCGGCTCGGGCGGCGTTTTCTTGATCTGCTTGGTCTTCACCTCTTTTGGCACTTTGGCTGGTCCAGCTCTCAATTCTGCCATTGTCAAGTTCTACCCTGAGCTGCGAATTGGAGAGGTTTTCGGCGCCATGGCGCTCATCAAGAACACTTTGGGAATTGTGGTTCCGCTTTCGATGTTGGCGCTTTACAAGTTTGCCTTGAAGAGCTGGCTGTTCCCACAGGTTGTGTTCTTGTTCATGGCCTCCTGTTTCTTCGTTTTCCTTCTTGCCGTTTCCTACGTCAAGTGGGTGCTTTACAAGGAGCACCAGTACTTGGCCTTGCTGGGAAGCTCGCTTACCCCATCGTCGTCCTCGTCGTCTCTTTCAGCGCTCAACGAAGGTTCAGACTCAGAAACACCAACCACGCCAAAACCAGACAGCACGGCCAGAAGGTCGCTGTCGCCCAACCATTCCCGCAACGCCAGTTTCTCCGTTTAAAAGTGTAAATACGAGGAAGAGCTGCTCAGACACTAGGACATGGTCCTGCTACGCATAGCATAATTTGACACCTACAATTCGAAACTTTAAATACCGTAGACATGCATTACGTGGCTTCAGCGCCTCTCAAATATGCTCCTTCTCATCATTGCCGTTACCTCTGGAGGGATAAACTGCAAGGCCCGTTCTCCTGAACGATAGAAGAGAGAGTCAGGGTTGTCCAAAATCATAAGCATTGACCTGACGTACTTTAAAGCTTTTTCCTCCGACTGGCCTTTAGCTATCTTATTTTCGGCGGTTATCAAGAGGCAGTCAAGTATGGCCTCTGCCATTTCCATGTTTGGATTCTTCTCCTCGGGTGGTTGAAGAGAATCTTGAACAGCCTGGCGTAACTCGGGGTATTTCTTGACGCTAATGGGCTGGAAGCCGTTGTAAGGCGTTTGGATGAAGAAGGAGTTGTAAGAGATTTTGGCGGGGGGTTTAATGTGGCGAGGCATAAAGAAGAAGTAGTTGAAGATGGTTGTGTTTTTGCAGCCATTCGCAGGCTTTTATAGGGAGGGATTCACGAGGTGGGTTTTCAGTGGAGGGATTGGATTTTAAGGAATTGACCAAAGAAGTTGATTATTAAGGTGACGTTTGCTTGTGATCAGAGTCAATTGGTTTGTTCGTTGCTTGTGGTCCATTGAGGTGTTGGAGCTTCTCCAGAAGGAAGGTTGAGTCTGTGATAGTGGTCAATTGGTGTGGAACTTTTTTTCAAAAGGATCAATGAAGTCAATATGATAGCTTTTCTGATGCCTGGAATGAAAGAAGCTTGTTGGAATGCTTGTCTTCAATGGCTCCTCTTCATGGGTTGTTGGTTTATGGTGCACCTTGTAGAACTAGTGTACTCAGAGAACCTGTTTCAATGGCAATTAGCTATAAATCTGAAAACTATCCTTCAATACTTCACCTCCTTCCACTTCCTTTTGTTGCACTTGCCCATATCAACAAGATTTGTGCGCTTGACGTGACATTCAGGGAAGCATCTTGATAAGGTTTGGGACATGAAGTCCAGTCTACCGTCTGAATGAAACACAACTTGCTGCAATGCAATTGGGCAGCAAAGCACGTAAATAACGATTTTCCAGAAATCTATCATTCACCAATTCGTTTGAAGCTTTTTGTGAACATGAAGCCACTCTTGAGTACGTCTAATCCACCGCTAACTAAGTAGTGAGAGTCATCTCGACTCACCAAAACCCAATTCAAAGAAAAGCCTTCTGACTCAAAGAGCCCCCTTTTCAAGATATTCACCCTCCTTTTACCCTCCTTCTATCCAAAAGCCTCCCTTTCCACCGCCTCACCATGCTTCACCACCCCCACTGGAATGGTTGCAAAATGCACCTGATTCTCAATACCACACACCATCTCCAATCCACCAAACAGCAATTAACCAATCAACGAAACCAAACCCCAAATCACAATACCCCTTTTCAAATCCACTTAAAAAAGTTCAGAATCCAAATCCCAAACCCTAAATTGTAACCACCCACCCTTATCTGCCATCGCACCCACCTACACACCCATCTAACGCGAAATCAACTACATGGACTCGGTGCCTTTGGAGCTCCAGAAACTCGTATTGTGGCGAATCGTGGGTGCTTTTTTCGCTGTTTCCTTCCTTTACCTTCTGATCATCGGTTTTTTCACATTTTCCGTCTTGCCCAGGTACAAAGTGCCCGAAAACAAGAGACCACCTTTACTGCCACGACCCAGCTTCTTATCTAGAGGAAGCTTCCAGGCCCTTTCCGCTTCAAATAGTCCGGAATCGCTGCCTCAGAAACGCAAAAACGGCTTCTATCAACAGCCAAACAACAGCAGCAGGTACCTACGCAGAGATAGCTTTGGTGCTGAGTTGTGATGCATATCCACGTGTACTTGCCTCTAGACGTGGCTAAAAGGCGACAGGGGTACTTGGTCGGGCACAGACTAGCGCTGGCGGTGGTGGTGGTGCAGTTTTTCCGGGAGATTCCGCCTCAATTGGGCGATTTGTCTGTGGTGGCTGTCATTGACCGTTCTACAGAGGGCTTGGACGGCGCCATAGGCTTGAAATACGAGAATGGCCGCTTAGTGGGCTCACAGGACGGGAACACGTACACTTTGGTGCTGTTTCTGCCGCCCAATCTTCGAAACTTGGAGTATTTCACTGTGGATGCCATTTTGCTTCAAAGCACAGGCTCCGAAAAGAGCCCCAGGGACTTTGCTGAGTTCGGCAAAACCACGCCGTCGGACGCGTTTGACGACGAGGTGCTAGAGAAGATCAATTGCTGCCAAAGCGATAGGGCTACTCTCAACAGACTCAACAAACGTTCCTGGAGACTACCAGCAAAACCTGCCAAGTGGCTACCGAGTCAGATTCTCCAGGGCCTCCATTTCCTCGTATCTTGCATTATCAGCATTCTAGTCTGTCTTCTAGACGGGCTCAATTACCCTATCTGGGGCACCTCGTTGGTGGAGGTATCGGCTTTCTTCAGACAACTCGACCTCCGTCTTCGCCAGGTTGCATACTTCCCGGCTCAGTTTCTCTTTTACAGAAACTCTGCCATTCTTACAGACCCCAGTTCGGACTGGCCTCACTTGTTGCAGCTCCCGCTGTATAACGAGAAGTACAATATCAACAACTCCAACTACATCAACCTTTACAACTCCATCTGGCTCATTGTCAATGACATTCTCATTGGTATCACCGTCTACAGACTTGCATCTCAGCGGGCAAACTTGGTGAACTTCCTCAACGTTAACATACTCAGCGAGATGGCCTTGAAGTACCTCCGTCTGTTGGTCTTATGGGTCGCTTCTGAACATCCATACGGATTTAAGCTCAATGACGAGCTCGGCAAGTTCATGGGTCTGATGTTTATTTGGACGTTGGATGTCTGGACCTTGGTGTTTGATCTGGTGCTAGAAATTGCTCTGAAAGAGCCATACTCAACGGTCCTCGCAGGCCTAATCAAATGCATCTGCTACATGGGTGTGCTGTTCCTGATAGCCGCTTTTACTGACTATATTGCTGTGGTGACCCTTCATATCCACTTCTTCACAATCGTGACCACCAAAGTGTACCATCGCCAGACAGAGGCGCTCAAGTCGCTATGGCAGTTATTCCGGGGAAAGAAGTACAATGTCTTGCGTCATCGTATCGACAACCTCGACGAGGAGCAGTTTCGTGTGGATCGTTTGCTTTTGGGAACACTTCTATTCACCATCTTGGTGTACTTGCTCCCAACGACGTTTGCCTTCTACTTGCTTTTCTACGCAGCTAAAGCCATCATCTTCACGGTTGCTAAATGGTGTGCTAAGCTTCTTGTGGTGTTAAACATGTATCCATTATTTGTGCTTCTCCTCAAGCTTAAGAACTCACGCCGTTTGCAAGGTGGAATTGTTTTTGAGTCTCTAGGAGGCTCCAAGTCCACCAATTGGCTCCTCATGAGCAACAAGGCGCTCACAAGAGACGAAATATTCGTCAACTTTTGGCACGTTCTCCGGAACGAGGGCAAGGTTGAACGTATATTTCTAAACTTCGCTCAGGGCCGTCCCATGCGTGTGAGGAACACAATCTCTATGAAGTTTCATTACCTTAGGCTTCCAGCGCGGTATGAAATGTTGCGGGATCTCTGGCAGACTCGCCGGCCAACCTAACTCAGGATGTCTATTAATTATGGTTGAGCCTAATCCGCTTTATCGCTCATGACCTGCTTGACTGGTTCCGTATCGTTAATATAGAGCTTGTGCTCCTGGATGTATCGAATCACAGAGTTGGGTAAGAGGTACTGGACCAGCATACCACGACGCACGAACAAACGGATCTTGGTGGACAGAATGTCGTTGTAAATAAGCTGTTTGATCACAAGGACGTTACGCCGGTGCTCATACATAATGTCGTGACTCAACAAGAAACTTCTGACATCGGAACCAGTACGCTCGACAATGAGACATCCGTACTTGCCCAAAATGTGGTGCAAATCCTGGTCAGCCCAAACGTCGGGCTCACCCATGGACTCAATAAGGTCTCCACCAGCCAAAAGCATGATCTTCACACCACGAGTCTCTCCCAGCTGCGTGCGAATGCCGCCTCTCTTGACGTTGATTTCTTCATTGAAGTGGTCCAACACAAGTGCCGTGCGGGTGTACTTTGGCTGCAAAGATTCCCAAGCATCCACCATAAGCCAGGAGGATGTTCTTTCACAGGCCAACTCGCACATACGCACACGGTGGTGCAGCGGTGCTAGACCCTGTTTCTTGTAATTGTCGGAAACAGGAGAGTAGTAACCTCCCACCACTTCGAAACGGGTCTGTTCGGTGATAGCATCAAGGGCCATTTCGAACATCCGCAAGTGCAAATACGTGATGGGTGAGAAGGAGCCGCACGCCACAATGACTAATGGGTACTTGGAGTCGTCCGAGAGAGTAGTTGCCAATCTGTGGCTGGGGAACTGGTACTTGTCGAGCGATTTCGCCTGCCTTTGAACGCCATGGGGCACTTCCTCAAGATCGGCAATCTGCAGCAGTCTCACCTTGATGGTAGGAGGAAGAATTCTTTCCTCGCTATATTGCCGTTGCTTCAATTGTGGCACCTCCTCGTCGCTCAGGGAGTTCATCAAGTCGGTATGCTTTCTGGGGATCTTTGAATGAATGTGCAGCAGAGGTCCCTTTTCAGGCTTCCCGCTAGCAGCCACCGAGGGGTGAGGAGTGGGTGCATCGACGTCTCCACCCAAATCAGCCAAAACCAAAGGTTGGATGGGCATGTTTTGTGGGATTTTGTCAGAATGAGCGGGAGGCTCAATGTTCCGATTGAGCGATGGAGGTGTGAAATTGGGGTCGTTGGTTGGATCCATCTTGTTAGTGTTGTAGTATACAAATAGAGGGCCCTGGGGTTAGGGCAAAAGACGTCAGCAATTGAGGTGGAGTATATAGAAAAAACTCGGATATGGAACACAATTAGTCACGTGAGCGGTCAAGGCGATAAGAACACAAAAAAAATAACGTCACAGACAGGATTCGAACCTGCGCAGGCAATGCCCAACACCTAAGCTGCAGGGTAGCAGGGTGTCGCCTTAACCACTCGGCCACTGTAACCAATGTTAGTAAATGGGCCTATAGACCGTATATGTTCTATAAATTGAAGAGATGTTCAAAATGGCAAATTTGGCCTTCCCAGAATGTTAATTGACTTCCAATAAATGCACATGCAAATTTTGAGCTCTTTAGCTGCAAAATTGGGCTCAGAATCTCAATTTTTGTCTCTGAACTTAGGTTTCACACAGCCCCAACGGGAGTATGGACACCACAACCCGGTAATTTTGCCTCATTTGAGATAAAATAAGCAATAGTACAGCGCAAATTTGTCAATTGACCGAGAATCGGGTTGGGATTATCGTTTTTCGGTCTATCCTTCTATTGGATCGGATGCATGCTGAGTTTACGAACCAACAAGGCATTGTTACTCCTCGAACGGAGGCATTAAATGCTTTCGTTTCTTCTTTGTGGCCAGTTAGCTTTTAGAATCCTTTGAAATGTTTTTATTTGCCTGTTTGAAGACGCTATTTTGTGAACTTTTGAGGTTCATGGACCCCATAGTACATGCAACTTCTACCAGATAACAAGTTTAACTTTGCCTTGTTTTGACGAAAAAGAATTTAGTGTTTCTCGGTCGTCAATTAATAGGACCCTTAGAATCTTCGTATATGCTTGGTTGAAGATGTTATTACGTGACTTTTAGAGGTCCAGATATTCGATCACACGAGTAATCTCTACCAGATAGTAAGTCCAAATTTGCATTGTTTTGACAGTATTTCGGTGTTTCTCGGTCCTCAATTGAAAGGAGACTTAGAATTTTCGTATATGCTTGGGTGAAGACGTTATTATGTGAATTTTAAATGTTCATGGATCCCATAGTACAAGCAACTTCTACCAGATAGCAAGTCTAAATTCGCCTTGTTTGACAAAGATTCACTTTTTCTTATTCATGCCATTGCAATCATACTAAAATAGCGCCAGGTCCTTCTTAGAAATCAAAAGAATGTTGTCTACTTCGCTTATTGATTCATCGAATACCAGAGCCCTCTTCATATAGAACGATTCAGACTCGCTTAATAAAGCACAATTGAAGGCTACTAGACCAGCAAAGTGATGCTTAATGCAGTTCCACCAAACTAAATCTACCTTGTCAAACATTTATCCATCAATAATCCCACTCCCATCAAAACGTCAACAAACCTAAAACAGCCACGGAGTTACAGAAACTCAACGTTTCTCCTCAACGTTTCTCCTCAACGTTTCTCCTGAAAACAAGCCCAAACAAGCCCCGTCTGAATATTAATTAAGGTTTCGGAAACGGTCAAATCCACCTGACAAGCTTATTTCTTCGGCTATTTTTCACACACCTTCCTAATTCATAGGCTCACCGGACCACAGGAACTCGTCAAATCGGGAACCAACCCCAGAAACCAAAAAACTCGAAATACACCAAAAATCTTCAAAAATAACTTATAATCGGCATTTCCAATTGACATTCCATAGACGGCTCTAACTACCCCATGCGGGGTCTTATCAGCGCCTCGGCATTAGACCCTCGGTCTACTCCACATGTCCGAAAGTCCGGTTATCAACGGTAGCTACACGCTTATTAAAACCAAAATCTATTAGTACCCGTACCAATACTATGTAAACTTTTAGAACACTGGGTTCGTGAAATGAATGTGGGGCTGTTGCCGAGGGTGTGATGCAGCCAGGCGGCTATAATACAGAGATTAATGCCTGGGGACAAAGTGACAAGCGGGAAAGCGTCGAATAGACTGTTCTGTTGGGCCGTAATTAAACCCGTAATTAAACCACTAGGCAAAAGAACACTCAGAGTCCTTCTTCACGCATCCAACGCACTTGTTCAACTTCACATTCATCACACACTTGACTTTTCTCTTACGGCAAGCAGCACACGAGCTTTTTCTGGCAGAAGCAGCCACCTCCAGGCGCTTCTTGATTTTAGAGGGAGCCTTGGGCGAAGAAAGCACCGAAACAGATCCCACGGCGCTGAGCAGGCTGCTTCTTTTGCTGTGCACAATGTCCTCCTTGGTGAAACCCTTGGAGAAGCAGCATTCGAGCTCTCTGGTGGCACACGAGGAACAAGGTCTGAATTTGACGAGTTTGCCGTTGGAAACAACCAACGAGAAGCTCTCGCCAAGTGGGATAGCGTCGCCGCTGAGAAGCTTGGATCTGGCGGTCTCGTCAAGACCAGTCATTTCCTCGGCCTCCTCTTCGTCAACGTTTCTGCTGAGAAGCACAACCTCGGCGTTACACTTGACCTTACGGGCTCTGCACGAGTCGCAACTAGGCCCGAGTCTCTGTCTTCTCTTCTTTTCGCTCAAATCAGAGCTGGCAAGCTGTGGGGAAGAAGATCCAGAAACTGGGGACGACGACTCGAGTCTGGGAGAACCACCTTGGGACAGTTCCAGCGCAGAACGGTAAGTGGCGACATTCTGGGAGTACTGGTAGCTCTGGAGACCCAGGAGGCTGCGGTGTGTGGTGAAGTTGTTGTGGGAAACAAGATTGTCTTCAGTGAGGCCGTTGACAGATGCAATAGGCGGAAGCGCCACTCTGGCAGCATCGTGGTATTGAACAGCAGGGGCGTAGTGGGAGCACAGATGAGTGACTGCCCTGTCACCATTTCTCATGATGGAGTAAGAAAGAAGGTCGTTGGACAACATGGAGGCTGTGAGAGCTGTGGAGCTTGTAGTGTTTGAAGATAAGACTTCTTTTGTTGAAGATAGGACTTCTTTTGATTACTTTAGATGACTAGTGTCTGACTGGCTCTGACGAGCTGATGCTGGGTTGTGAGTCTTAGACGTGGTGATATGCAAAGGAAAGGCCCGGATAAACTAGGGTTCCGGATAATTCCTGGTGGTTTTCTTTTCAAAGATAGGTAAACTTGACTTGGGTCCGGCCGAGTAAAGTGATTGAGGAAAAATAGGATAGTATGGGGGAGGATGGGTATATATACGGCAGGCATCACCGAAAGTCCGATTTACATGTGCCAAATGGATAACCCCCGGAAGTCGAGGCCGGAAGTGAGGCAGACATGATTACCTCGGACTTGAGCGCTTCGCCGACCCCGCCAACTGCACACAAGCCGTCTCTATCGTTGAGATCCGGGGTGGCTGCCGGCACGCGACATGGAGAAAACCGGGTGAGAAAAAATGTCCGATGCCCGCCATGGACCCACGCCGCCCGTCGAGGGCATATGCTCTGGAAGCCTCTCTTCCGTGCTATATGTAGGCCCAGCATCCGGTTTCTCCGGTCGTCCTACGGCATGCCATGCTTTTGAAAAAGATGTAAAGTAATTAGTGGGGCCTGGGGGGGCCGCCTAGCCTAGTTCCTCGTGTAAGGGGCGGGACCAAGGCGGGCTCGGGGTGGGTAAAACGTTCTTTGTGAGGACGGGGCTAGCTGCAGGCATCCATTGATCCGAGCGAACAGCCCGCCGTCTGGCTGTGTGCAGTGCTGAACGTCAGCAGCCTGCAGGACGCTGACTCAATGATTTCTTCGCGCCTCGGTATTGAGTCAAAACCCCTCGCGCCCTGGCGAAGTCCGACCGTCGCCTCCGGACCCGCCATCGGAGGCGCGGGCCCACGCACAGACTTTCGAGG